TTATCTAAGATGTAATTAACTATAGGGGCTTGCCCTTATAGGAAGCTTTTCCCGAACCTAGCCTAATATAAACCCTATTTAATTCCTTATATTAAATAGGGGAATTTGTCGGCCAATATATTGGTTTCGCAGACCAAACGGATGTCATAACTTTCTCTAGTTTATTTGATCGAAGCCTCACCCTCAATTCTTGTGTTCATCCTTCGGGATAGATACATGATTTGAGGTAAAATCCTCTTTCATCTAAACTATGAAAATTATGGGGTCAGTTTGACTTCATCTTTTTCAAAAATAAAATTTTTTTAAAAAAAACATCCTTCCGAAGCGGGCAACAGGATTTCAATTCCGATGACTGATAGCTTCTTATAGACAAACCTCACACCAAAAATAGTGCCGACAGACAGTACTGTTCTTTAAAGAATGCAGAGTCAAAGCATTCGACGGACAACGTCAGCATAGACTTAGTACTCTACCAAAATAAATTCAAGTACGACCTCTGACTACCCCAATGCTCAGGACTTTTAAGCATTTTTGATAAGTATGGGGCTACCAAACTCTATTGTCGCAGTTATGAGCTTCGTCGTTTTTTATCATCTAGAAACTATTCCTTGGTTGATCGATTTGTTTGGCCATTTTAACACGTTCAAGTTTGACAAGGAAGGCTTTCGTTATGTTTTTTTTTTTGAAAAGAAACTCCAGCAACTAGAAGTTTAAAATAAAATAAAAGATCAGAGGAAGCAGTTGCGGCCGGTTCCTTCTTCGGCGATTGGAGAATTCTGACCAAATCAACGTACATAGCGGGGAGCAAGTTAGAATCCCTTCTGAAGGAACTGCATGCACTTGGGCGATGTTGAACAAGCATCGAATCTCGGTTCCTCATTATACTACCAAAAATATAACAACCCCGGTGTTGAGGGGTGAAATGACTTGAGATATATGGTTGGCCTCGGATGCTATTGAGGCCACCAGACAAAGGAGGTGAGGGGGAACCAAACAACAAAAGCTAAAAATTCCCCTGACAACAGATAATCTCATAAAAGTTACTATTTTATAAAGCCTGTCCCATGGTGTTCTCGCCTCTGCGACAGCTGACACCAGTGTTGGGAAATTTATAACTTCTTGCTCTAAAATCATTATTAAGAATATAATGACTGGTGAGGTCACATTATTACTCAATCTCATTTAGTTGATGTAGAAAAAATGAGGGAACAAGGCTTGTTGCTAATGAGGAGATTCCAAAGGAGCCGAGGCTCCTAGTACTTCAGCTTGTCAATCCACTCAGTTAATTGCCTCGCAACCTTCTGATCCTCTGTCGATCGCCGCCGTCTCACTCGACTCCAAGGTATAAAGAAAGCTCCTCTGTTGAATTTGAATGTTGAAGCAGTGGGGATGATGCTAAGAATTTTTCAAGCTATTGAACACTTTTTCACATTTGGGTGTTCACTCAAAACGATGATTTTTCCTTGGTGCCTTGAAGAATGTCACACATATGTGACCTGATTTTGAGATGAACTGTCTGAGTCCTGCGATTCGACTGGTTTGCTTTTGTGCTTCCTTGTTACTACGAGGAGATGATATATCCAAAATTGCTTGTACTATTTTAAGATTGGGTTTTATTTCTTCAGAAGTTAGTAAAAAGCCCAAGACCTTATCGGTTGACGTACCAAAAGTGCATTTTGAAGGATTTAACTTCTTGTTATATCATTTGAGTGTTTTGAACATCTCTTTCAGATCTTTTATGTGTTGTTTGGCTCATTTACTTTCTAGCAGGACATCATCCACATACACCTCAATGTTCTTTTCTTTTTTATTCAAAAAAGTTACATCCATAAGACAATAATAGGTCACCCCAACTTTTTTTATCTTAAAGGACATTACATTAAAATAAAACTCCTTTTGTGATAATAAAAGAGATCTTCTTCCAGATGCTTTTTTTATTTGGTAGTATTCGAAGAAAGCTCCGAGGAAACTCATCACAGAGTATTTGGTCGTTGCATCCACCAGTCTGTTGATCTTTGGCAGTGGATAGGTATCATTTGGGCAGACGATAATGAAATTAGTGAAATCAACATACATCCTCAACTTATCATTAGGGTTCTTAACCATCATGACGTTTGACAACCAAGTTGGGTATTGGACCTCCTTGATGTAGGACACCTCCTTCAACTTCTGCACCTTCGATGCTCTCGACTTAGCCAAGGTTCTTATTTTTTACTTGATCTTCTACTGCACCAATCAAGCAGTTGGGCTGATATTCAATCAATGACAAGCAGTATTGATCAAAATTCTCGACATCTTCGCCACTGTCCAAGCGAATTCATCTCAATTCCTGCAGTGTTTAGATCAACAAATTTCCATGTCCATTAAAACTTCCACTTATTATTTCTTTGCCATTAGTCGCAGGTATTTTAAGGATTGTCTCACTGGTTTTGGGACCTCCTTCCATTTGAATATAATATCAGCTTGTGATTCATTATGGTGACTACTTAGAGATTGCAACTTCTCGACTGTTTAAAGTTTCCTCATGTCGTTATAATATCCCCACAGTCAGGAAACTTTACAGCTACATGATAAGTGAAGACCACCACCCTATAAATATTCAAAAGTGGTCGGCTGAATATGGCAATATAAGTTGAAGGGGACTCAAAAACTAGAAAGTTCTCCATACTGGTGTATTGTTTCTCATGCTCACCCCATGAGATGCCTAGAGCGATGACATATGAAGCTTCTTTCTCTCGTCGAAGAAACCAAATAGTGGATCAGCCGGTGCTATCAACCAGTCAGTCTTCAGGCCAATTTTGTTCAAAACTGTCGTGAACTGTATGTTTCTTGAATTACCAGTGTCTACTAGGATACTACACACATGGTAGTTATTGATCAAAGAAGTAATGGTGATTGCGTTGTTATATTGATTCCCCTTCAATGAGAGATATGCATCTGTAAAAACGATGGAAGGATGATTATACTTATAAGAAGCAATAGAAAATATCTCAGTCGACCGATGTCTCTTCAAACTAGATCGACAGGATGATTATCCGCCTCCCTTGAAGATAGTTTGGATGAATTTGATGACATGTACTTTTGCTTGCCTTGATCGGTCTGCCCAATGATTCCTTGGTGGGGGACCTTTTCTTGCTGTCGTGTTTTCCTGTTGACTACAATAAACCACTTCAACTTCTTGGCTTTGACCAATTCCTCCAGCAGGTTTTAAAGGTGATGACATTCCTCTATATCATTCCCATGATCCCGGTGGTAGTCGCAGTACTTGTTTGGATTTCAGAGCACCACTTAGGCCTTCATTGGCGAGGCTTTCCTAAAATATTCTTTATTTTGTATGACTGCTACTAGTTCAGCCATTGAAACATTTAGTGGTGTTAAGCCCTTCATTTCCCGATGCACGTGCAACTGCTCATAATACTGAGGCAGTCGCTGCTTAGAACTCAGACACTAACCTTGATGGCTTCATCTCTCCCGCGGTCGTTGGGTGTTGCTGTGGTGTTGATGACTGGAGGGATTTTGATTGTGTCTCAACCCGTATCCTTCATCCCCCATCCTCCTCTCCTTCAACCGTGGGTCGGTTGATGCCAATTTGACTCGGGCAGAGTCTGCGAAAGATTCCTCTCCAATGATATGACTATTGACCATCTCCAACATCTAAAAAAAAATACTTTGGTTCAAACATATTCTAATCATAGTTAAAACTTCATCTCTAATCCTTTGTGTCATAGTATTCTGAGTTATTAATGGTTGAAAGTCTTGCACTTCTAACATCTCCTTATGAAAATTGGTGATGTAAGATCACAAGCTTTCATTCTCTTTCTGCTTGATCTGCAACAGAGTCTGCGTTTCCTTCCTTGGCTTCTGTATATTGGTGAAGTGTGCCAGAAAAAGTTTTCTGAAGTCAGCAAAGGTTGGAATAATTCCAACTGGTATAGCAAGAAACTAGCAAAGGGCTGATTCCTTAAGTGTCATGAGGAAGAGGAGACATTTTATTGGGTCGTTGATTTGTAGGATTCCGACTGATGATTCGAAAGATGCCAGATGATCGGATCGGTCACTTCTTCCCTTGTAAAGATCCAGATGGGGAATCCTCAATTTTGTCAGCGGTATAACCTCAATGATTTGTCCAGTGAAGGCGCTGTCAGGGGTGAGCTGAACTGATGCTTCAACACAATCAACTAAATGTCTAACTATCATCGTAGATTTGGTGCTGGCTAACTGTGAGAAATCTCCTTTCCACTCGATTGCCTGATTAATAACGCGTCCGATCGATGCCGACAGGTGCTTCGGGGGAACTTTCTGAGGATGAGTTTTCTGAGATTTAACCCCTAGGAGTGTAGATTGATCGTTTCTTTGCATGATTGCTTATCAAAAGTGTGTCGAATTGACCCATCATCCACTCTCACTGCTCCTGCACTTCTTATTGAATCTTCTGATTCACAAATTCTCTATTGAATTCCATCACTGCGCAGTCCTTCTACTTAGATTCTTCTTCGTAATTAGCTCCTCTTTCTATTGTGTAATTTCCACGTTAACCATACTATCTTTTAGAATGTTGTCTTAAATTGTCTTCTTCAAAGACACACCCTAAGAGTTAGGGCTCAGAGGAGAAAAGTGAAAGAGATAGAATTTAAGAGTGACAAAGAATCTTATTAAGTGTTAGGATGTGTGAAGAGTGAGGATCCGAGAGTGATAAAATTCAAAAGTCCCTTTAGTAGTTAAGTTTAATTTTTAATACATAAATAAAATACTATGTGTGTAAGTTTGGTTGTTACATCCACTAGAAATTCACAAAAAAACAAGAAACAGCAGCTTAATTATGCATTGTCGCTACAGCCAGACCCTTAATTATGCATCGTCGCGCTACCAAGGCAGACCCAGACATCGCCGGCGACGTTTGCAGCGGCCGACATTCCTTTCAGTCCCTGTAACTCAATGGACCTTGCAAAGCCCAAATCCCGGCCAACATTAAATATCTTCATGGTCACATCGCCATACTCGCCCGAGTTCTCCTATTTCCAGTCAGCGCTCCGCCATTCCTCCATCATTGCGCTCGACGCCGAATGGAAGCCCGTCAGATCGCGGCAGATTGCCGACAGCTCCGAAGACTATGTAGGTGAGCCTACTTTTCCGACTGTTACACTCCTCCAAATCGCCTGCAGGGTTAGTCACGGGGTTTCCGATGCGGAAGTCTATTCTGTGGGAAACTCTCCGGTTTTTCTTGTGGATCTGCTCTCAATACCTCTTTCGACCATCTGGGAGCTTCTTAGGGACATGTTCGTGTCTCCCTGTGTGCTTAAGTTGGGATTCAGGTTCAAGCAAGATCTGGTCAATCTCTCTTCCACCTTCGCTTCTCAGGGTTTCCCTTCTGGGTTCGATAGGGTAATGCGCCCTTTTTATGATTTCTTCCTCAGTTTCTTTTTTGTTTAAGGGTTGCAGAAACTCTTGTTAACTGTTGTCACCGCCCTTATACTATGCTTGAAAAATCTCCGCTTTTGCTGATTTCTAATCCAAACGTAACGCCACTTCTACTTTGGAGGTCAATTTAGGGCTCACGATGTAGCATACAAATGGAAAATATGTTTCAAAAAAAAAAATTACGGGTTAGTTTTTCGCCATTTTTCATTTTAAATCAAAATCATTATATTTATCAGGGGATTTCGGAGTGCTTGTAAAGCATAAAATTGAGAATAATTTCAAAGTACAATGATGAATCTATCAAGTTGTATGATTTTCCAAAACATATTTTCTAACTTGAAGCAATCGAAATCCCTACGCTAATTTCACAACGTAGCATCATATATGCTGGTTATCGTTATTGGAACTTTATATTTTACAGATTCTCTTCAAAATTTTTTTGAAGTATAGTTTCCTGTGATTGCCATGCTTAGTTTTAACTTGATATGAACCGTAAATTAGACGAGCTGCTATTCCTCATTATTCAGTAAGTCTCTATTCGTGCCAACCATTTTAAGGTCTACTTGAATTTCTTTTTTGCGTTGTCTAAATCAATATCCTAGAACCAAAATGGTTAAATTTCATATTTCACTGATGATTTTGTTTTGTGTGCGCTACATTGAACAGACTTCTCTGGCAGTTGATCATTCATGTATGATATTTTCATTTCTCATGAATATTGTAAAGTACTAAAACAGGAAGGAATGCACAACATTTTTGAATAAGGAAAGCAGCATTCTGCACTGGGTTTGGAATCCTTTGCCTCCCTCTCATCCCTCAATGTCTACTTTTTTCGGTCATATACTCTCTCAATAACCGTTCTCCATCCGTATGTCTAATCTTCCCATTAAGAATAAATTGTGAGAAGATATTTGTGACTGCATTGTTGAAATGATTTTCTAGAAGGAATTGCTGTATAAATGTTCCTTTGAGAAATGATATTTAAGAAGAAATGAGAGGGAATACAACAACAACAAGCCTTTATCCCACTAAGTGTGTTCGGCTACATAAATCTTTTTTCGCCATCGTGTCTTATTAAGTGTCTTTTTTTCATGTAATTCTAATAATATGAGATGGAATATATGCAGATATTTTTTTTCCAATTTAATTTAACATATCCTGTTCACTTCCCAAGCTTTGAATGAAATAGGTTGATGTTTGATATTAAGTCTACAATGAGATGAAATAAATTCAAATTTAAATTTTGATTGTGGTAGGAGATTCTCCAAAGCTGACACAGCTAGGGCCAATACTTGTGCTTACTTTGTTGATTCCCTCTTCTATATCGAACTCGCAAACCCAACTTCCTCTTGTTCCTCTCTACTACTGGACCTATCAAAATTCTATAACCCTTCAACAAGAAAAAAAATAGTGAAGAAGTCGCATGGGAGCTTGCTTGGAGGAGAAATCCTACGAGTTGTGAACGAGGTGGGGAAGCTGTGTTGAGAGCTTGTTGGGAGAAGGCATCGAAGAACCTACTGGTGTTTGAAGAGGAAGGGTATGGAGAGAACTTAGCGGAGGCTTTGCGGGTCCAAAGGCACATGTAGTTTTGAAGTTTATGTTACTTGTAGAGTTAGCTTACGTCTGCCATTACTTCGATTTAATAAATCGTGGATTTAAGGTAAAATATATGAGAAATTAGAGCTTAGACTTTGTAGGAGTTTAATTTTTTTTCTTTGGCTATTTGGCATGATTTAGTTTAAATACTGCTCAAATCTTGTTACCATGCCGACCTAGCTACTCTTTCGCGTTCTCTTTATTACCCTCTCCTGTTCTCTTTTTCAATCTCACCCCCACTATCTCTTTCTTCTCTTTATCTCTATCTGTTTCCCGCCGACCCTCTCTTTTTGCTTCTCTTATTCTGCTTATTTCTCACCGCTTCCTTCTCTTTCTTTCTGACTCTATAGAGAGAAACCAAAACAATGAAGAAAAGAAAAAAGGGAATATAAAAAAAAAAAGAAAAAAGAAGAATGAAAGAATGGTTGTATGTTGATTTTCGTCGCCTTGTTATTACTGTCATAGCTACGCGCGTAAGACATAATGTATAGCAAGTCTCTCGCCAACATTTATGTACCTGAATATGTTGTTATGATGCAACAATGAAATGTTGTTTTACTTTGTATATGTTTTGTAGGTTTAAAATTATACAAATCTTGCTTGATATAGCGGTGAGAAGACTCATACATGCTTTTTTTGGCACACCGAGGTGAAGAATACTTTGGCTGCCAAAATAATAATCGTACATTTTTTTTTGTCACAATGGGGAAATTTATTTGCTAAATATTTGTCCAAATAATAAGATTGTTACTTGTTTTTTTGGCGCAGCGGGGCAAAAAATCTGGGTGTGGTGTCCTGAACACCACTTATACATGTCTTTATTTTGATGTGGTGGGTATGCCCATACTCGTCTTAGATGCCACAAACGTTGGGGAGATGCCAGGAGATTGCTGAAATGAATATTAAAAAAATTGAAAACATAAATATGTTGAACCACTTTAAATATGAATATAACAAAATAAAAATACGAAATTTTAAAATAAAATGAAATTGGACACTTAAATGAATTGCATGGGGACCAAAAGAATATTTTTACTTGAAAACTTGTTGCAATTAATATAGTGAAACAAATGAACTAAAGATAGAACTTAATTTGAAAAGAATTTTTTGGTGTTTGTGATAAATTGAAAGCTCACTTATGAGCACGAAAACTTAATTGACTCCATTAAAAACACCTCTAAACAGTCTGAACTTTCAAGAACATATTATGTGAATTAAAAATAGAGTGAAAATGATCTATAGTGGGTTCTTTTTGAGAGATGAAGGAGCAATTTTGTTCACCTGAGGAAAATACAAGCCACATACAGGCAAATTTTGCACTTTGAAAATACATAATGGATTTAGTTCATAATCTTCAAAATTAACTCTGCAACTTAATCACACAAGTGGTTAGAATCACTGAAATAATGAGCTCAAAATGCTTGGTCATGTTTGTGTTTCAACAACGATGAATTCATGTGAACGACTATGACATTGGGCTTTCGCACGTCAAATAACTATGTGTATATGAATGAGAATATTTTTTAAATAAAATCAAAGTAAACCACCGTTATCCGTCATAGGGCGTAAAAATTTTTAAAAAAGCATGTGTGAGATGTCAAATTTGAAAGCAAATTTATTTGCATTTTCTTTGACAAATGTGCTAAATGCTTGAACTTCAAAAAATGCTGTGGATAATAAACAGATAAATTTGATGAATTCAAAATTAACATCGCATCAAGAAGCATGCCGTTGGTCTAAAAGATGTATAATTGTTTCAAACTTCACAAATTCTCTTTCAAAAGTTCAAACTCATGAATAAGCCATATGCATGCTCTCAAGTAAGCCATCTTATAAAAGAGGGTCATAAGTCACCTTTTACAAGCCCGATCTTCTATATTATGAGTATTAGAGCCAACATAAATTGTATTAAAAATGATTTTAAAAATTTTTATTTTTGGTCTAATACAACAAACTCATAACCATGGACTGAGAATCGAACATTTAAACCCAAAGTTTGTTAGAATTTTGTCTTCCATTCACATTTGGCTTTCCAAACCTTTTAAGAGAAACTTTCTTTTCAAAACGTAAACTCTTAATATTGTGTCTATAAGGCTTAGTCATGAGTTTCAACTCTTAAATCCAATCCTTTACACATGATGGAGTAGACATGAACTATAAAATAATATATTTTCAAAATAAATTCAAGACATATATAAATCTCGAATATGATATCATACAAGTATGCAGGCAGAGTTGATGAGCTCTAGGAAACAAGGTTCAATAATTTAAAATAGCTTGAGAATGCCCACATTGATAAAAAAATTTCAGTTGGAGGGGAACTTCTTATCAAAATAGGTCTAAATTCTAATACAAATATTTTTGAGCTTAAATTCTGATAAAATACGGAAGTTCAATAACATTAGAAAGTATAAAAATGTTGAAGTAAAATATATCACTTTAAGCTTAAAGGAATAATCCATTCATGCCTCACATCCGTTTGACGAGGATGATAAATTTAAGATGATTTTAGTTCATAAAGTGCCAATAGTATGTTAAGTTTAATATAATATTCCTTAAAAATTTCGTGTTAGCAAGAATGTGACGTGTCCTATGATTGGGTGGCTTTATCTCAAAATGTCATCACCGAGGAATGATTATAATCAGGACCCTCTGGCTGGATGGTTCGTCCCAAAACAACATATTAACTTGTGTTTATTGCAAACACTCATAAATTTTTTAAAGAACAAATCTAGAATGCACTTGATAAGATAGAAAGCTTTTTATGCTGATTTGAAATGGTTCCTATAGACAAATAATTATCCTAAGTTAACGAAGTTTTCTTGTACGATACAAACAATGTTAGCTGTGAAAAGAATTCTTCAATTAGTTTGTGTAGCTTACATCCTTTGAGTAAATTATAAAAGCTTGATTAAGTTTGGCCTCTTCTCCTCTTCCTTTCTATCTCCCTCTTAATTCACTTTAAGTTGATGTTTTAAATTAAACTATTTCTACTATAAATTAAATATTTAGAATGTATCCTTAGCCTTGATCCAAAGATCTCTCTCGTCAATGAGAGGGGTAATTAATCCTACGCTATTGCGCTTATGGAAAACTTGAAAATTAGTTTGTAAAGTTCTTACAAATGAAGGTGAAATTTCTGGGTTTTGTTTTATTACAAATTTGTTCTAGAATTATATTCTCTTAGAGGAGTCACATTTAGATTTTCGGGCTCCATGGGCCCTCCATGAGCAAACTTTATTTTGGTGTGAAATAAGATTTAGTAATAGCCCCTACGTGATTGATTTTCTATTGCTTAATTTAATTGTGGTAAAAAGCAAGCTTAAGTTTGTTAGGATGCCACTTTCAAGTGATGCATCACAACTAGA